GCGGGAGTTGCAGATGGCGGCGGGGAGGGCGGCGGCGGGAGTTTCCATCTCCAGCCGAGGTAGCTTGTTGAAAATCACGGGGTCCGGAGACTCCAAGTGTCGTTTCGAGGCCATTTACACGTTGGTGCCGGTGTCCCGACCAGGGCGTGCGACGGGAGGGGTGAGCTGGCCTTCCTGGATTGGAGAGGGAGACACAAAATGCATCAGGAGCAGGCTGGCCGAGCGTTTCTCCATGCCTTTCCTTGGAAAAGCAGCTCTGCAAAGCTCTCACTGCTTTGGTTTCAAAGCCTCAAGGAGCGGCTGGTGCCGGCACCAGGAAGCAAAAGCCGAGCAGGCGGCTCCAGTGAAGGGCCAGCAGACCACGATGAGACATAAACACAGAGCACCCAAAATGCCAACACCCCCCCCCAGTTTCACCTTTCAAGCTAATTCGAGGCTTTTCCCCCAACACAGCAGCCTGGGGCTCAGGGTCTCTTCTGGTTTTGGGCTGCTGCTGTGGCAGGGCCCGGGTGCTGGCTCACAGTGCCTGGTGGTGGGTGCCAGCAGGTGGAGCTGGCAGACCATCCCAGCATTGCCCGGCCTTCCTGCCAGCGCCCCACTGCTCCTGAGCATCACAAGTGTCCCCCCAGTATGTCCCGGCATCACCCAGCATCCCCCCAGTACTGCCCAGCGTCTCCTGAGCATTCCACTGAAACATCTGAGCATTGCTTGAGCATCACCGGGCCATCAAACAGCATCCCCCCAGCATCACCTAAGCATCATGTACATCACCTGAGCAAGCCACAAGACCTGCCTGTGCATCACTGGACCATGGCTCAGCATCTCCCAAGCATGGGCAAATATCACCCAACATCTCCCAGGCAGAGGCAAACATCACCCAGCATCTCCCAAGCACGGCCACACATCACCCAACGTCTCCCAGCGTAGTCAAACATCACCCAGCATCCTTCTAGCATGGCCAAACATCACCCAGCATCTCCCAAGCATGACCCACAGCACCCCCCCAAACCCATGGATGGATGTACTGCAGTGGGATCTTGTGTCTGTTCTTCACCCTCCCCAGGTTTGGGGTTTTTTTATTCTTTTTGTGGCAAGAGTTAGCAGAGAAGCAAAGAAGGAAACAGAGGAAGAGAGCATGGAGATAAGATAAAAGCCTTGTCCACAGAAGGGGAAACGAAGCAGATAACCGGGGCGACCTGCGAGGGCAGATAAGGGCCCCCAGTGTGGTGGCTCCGCTCCGAGCCCGGCCCCGAGCCGCACGCAGCCCGCTCCGGCAAACCGCACGCTGCACCCTGTGCCAGCTCTCCCCGCCGTGCCAGCTCTCCCCCCTGCACCAGCTCGGCCCCCCAGCCCACGTCCAGGCAGAAACGGGGGCCACCAGGCTAGCGTGAGTGCCCCTACCCAGCTGTACCAGCCTGGGGTGGGGGGGCCGGGAGCCAACCCCATGCAGACCAGCTCAAAGCCAGCGATTTGCCCCAAAACAGCAGCTCTGGCACGATGGAGAGGGCTGAGCCCCTCTGCCGTTCTTTGGGTTGGGTTTCTTTTCCAAACTTCCATGATTTCTTGTTTTCCAGGCAGGATGCTGCTTTCCCAGGCTCCTGTGCACATTGGAGGCTTCCAGATGAAAATGTCTTTGGAGGGATGATGCTTCCCTGCGGTTAAGAAGGAAGCTCATCTTCCCCCTCACACCCCCACAGCAGCTCCCCCCAAAAAAGGGGTCGTGGAGTGACTGCTTTATCCTCCGGAGCCTGAGGGTCATTTCCAAGACATACAGTACCAATTAAATTGGTCACCGCTTAAATCCAGGGAAAATGCTGCCTACAAATTGGAAAAGATTGGCGAAAAAAAACCCCAACAGGGTTATTTTCCTTTCCAGGCTCCCGCTCTCCCCACCCAGCAGCGGCCCAAGAGGGATCTCTGGGGAGGGCGGTGGTTAAATCCGTCTCCCCGGGAGATGCTGTGTGGGAGGGAAGATGCAGGCGTGGGATCCCTTCCATGCACTGACGGATCCCTTCCATGCACTGACGATGCTCAGAGTGGACAAACTGACCCAGAAAGCTGCAATCTTGTGACTTCCGACATTTCCTTGCTGTTTTTTTTCCCCTTTCCCTGAAACGCGCCCATCTACTCACAGAGTCAGGGACATCGCCCAAACGTCCCTTTTCCAAATCATCTGCCACCGGCGCAATGGAGGCCCCTTTTTGAGGGGGAGGGAAGGGAGGGAAAAGGCCTCGTAACCCCCTTAAGAAGGAGACCCTTCCCCTCGGGAACACCCCAATCCCTTCCCAGGGATTCGGTGCCCCGGCCGGTGCCGTCCCTACACCTGCGCCATTTGAGAGCCAAGAAAACAGCTCTGCCCTCGCTCCCACCATCAGCCCTTTCCCTGCGGGACTATCCCCTGGCAGCCAGA